ACCCCCCCTCCCCAGCTTCCCTCCTACAAAAGGGAACGCAGTTGCCTCCCCCCCCCCCCTTCCAAGGCCGCCTAACTACTTCTGAGATCTCTACGATTTAAAACCAAACGAAACCAAGGCAAAACGGTTTGGGCTTGGAGGGAGGCGGGGGCTAGGGGTGGAGTGGGAAGAAACCCACCGAAATGGAGGTAGCTACGGACCAGCCACGCTGGATGGCCCATCACGCCGTGCTGAACGGGCAGCACCCGGAGACTCATCACCCGGGACTGGCTCACAACTATATGGAACCGGCGCAGCTCCTACCTCCGGACGAAGTGGACGTCTTTTTTAACCATCTGGACTCCCAGGGCAACCCGTACTACGCCAACTCAGCCCATGCGAGAGCCAGAGTGTCCTACAGCCAGGCACACGGTAATTTCCCCTTCCCGTTGCCCCTTTTCTCGCTTTCCGTTTTCTGCCTCGGGCTCCTGCGGATCTTCATGGAGAAGCGGCCGGAAGGTTTCTGGCAAAGCAGCAGTAAGAGGCGAGGGTGAGCCGGGTGGGCTTAATCCTAGAAAAGCTTTCGCTCGCAAGTTTGGATGCTGCTTTTAATTGTTGGCGGGGGCGGGGGGAGAATAGAAAAGGGAAGCGACGTCCTCGTGCGTGGAGGAGGAGAGGGCTATTAAATGCATTTCGCAGCCGCAAGACAGGCCCGTTTTCCGGACACGAAGTCTAACGTACTTTGAAACACTTTTAAATGTTTGTCCTTTGTCAGTGCCCATATAAGAACTCTGTGGGTGCGTGCAAAGAGCTGTCTTTGGAGGCCAATTTTTCGAAAAGAGGAAAATAATCGCAAAACAGACCCCATCCACACCGGCACTTATATGCTGCCTGTCCACAAGCCCCTTTGGGAAGTAGCACGCAAGCGGGAGAAACTCCTGCCCTTTGCTTGTCAGCTACTCGCGTTGACGTTTTACTTCCCTCCACGTTCAAACTAGTTTTGGCGTCCGATTGTAGAGCGGCGGGGCGATATAAGTCGCCTGCCTGGCGCTGCTTTCCGCCACTTGCGCTTTGATCAAGGGTGGCGGGGTCCCAGCCGGACCCCTTGGGGGGGGGGGAGGCACAGAGCGTACATATTTTGCGCACTTTTCTCCTAACTCCCCATTGGTTTCCCGAAGAGGCCCTAGGTGGCTTTTTGATCCTACATCTTTAAAACATTTTGCCTGGTTTGCGTCAGAAACTGCAAAGACGGGAGCCTGTATTTCAGCTGGCTCGCCCTCCGTGGGTTCAGGAGAGCGCGGAAGCGCGCCCGAATGCCTGCCTGATCTGCGTTAGTGATTTGGGAACAGATCTTTGCGCTGGCGGGCCTGGGGCGGGCAGGTCAAGGGGGGCGTCTTCTCGTCCACCAAGCCCTGCCCCAGCAGGCGGGAAACCTGGGG